GCGTGTTCTCTCTCTCGGTGGGATGCGTGTTCTCCCTCTCCGTGGGATGCGTGTTCTCCCTCTCCATGGGATGTGTGTTCTCTCTCTCCGTGGGACATGTGCTCTCCCTCTCCATGGGATGTGTGTTCTCTCTCTCCATAGGACGCGTGTTCTCTCTGTCCGTGGGATACATATTCTCCCTCTCCAGTGGACTTGTGCTCTCCCTCTCCTTCAATCTGTAGGTTCTGGGTCTGCGATTTGACTTGAATCTGAGCAAGGGGTTGTGACTGTCCTCAGGGCACTGACCTCTGTGGCCTCTCCTGCATCCTTGACCACATTTTCTGATGTGTTAGGCAGAACATTGGTTGCCCCCGGGAGCACCCTGTCCCTGAGCTGATGCCCGGGGAGCTCTGTCTCTGAGGGTTGGGTTCCTTCCATGCCCCCATCCCCCACTCCCTGTTCATTGTGGGAATTCGGGCTGTGACCACCATTGGGCCCTTTCTCTCCTGGACGCTTCCTCCGGGAGGATGCTAGGGAGCCAGCCGTGTCCCCCAGCTGCCCTGGCCCCGCCTGCAGAGGACAGCTGCCCCGGAGCTTGCGGTGATGCTGGGGCCCCTCGTAGAGCACCGCAGGCCACCTTGTAGCCGACCTGCTGAAAAATAAACTCCTGGACGTCCAGCAACAGAGTGGGGCATGAGGGAAGCAGAAAGCGCTGTAGCTGCCGAGGTCGGGACAGGAGGGAAGGCCAGGACACAGCACTGGATAGGGTGGAAGAGAGGAGTGTGACTGTGTCAGCCGCCACCCACTCAGAAATCCACCCAGTTTGCTGGTTGAAAAACAGAGCTCGTTAGATTATATTGAAGCACACATATTGCTGAATCCCTGTCAATGGAGCTGCAAACCTCCGAGGAACCTGGGACAGGCCCTGCCTCCCCCGTCTGGGGCTTGCTGTGCTTGGGAATGGAGGGGCTGAGCTGGGCAGCCCACATCTGCCCCCATCACTGCAGAGACCCAGGGGCTCTGCCCTCCTGCAGCCCAACGGTCTGGTGAGCTGAGGTTCTGGGGTCCCCACCCCAGCAGTGCCTCAGGGGCTTCCCTCTGCTCAGGCGAGAGTCCACTTTGTTCCATTAACCTCCTGGCTTGTGTTTCAGGAGGGACATGGAGCCTGGCCTTGGGGACAAGGGCAGAGCCTCAGAGCACGTGGATGAGGAGGGCCCTAAAGCACCTCCACCAGGGGAGCAGGGGGAGGCCCGAGGCCTGCCCTGCGGCCCCCAGTGTAGCCCCGAAGAGGAACTCCCTGCCGTGGGAATGAGGAGCTCGGCAGCTGAAGACCAAGCCCTGTCCCACCCTGTGCAGGGCCCGGCACAGCCTGGAAAAACACGTAAGTGACGCCTGACCCATGCCCTGAGACTGGGGCCATTTCCCTCCCTGATGGCTGCTGACTCTGCAGGGACTGAGCGGTCAGCCCCAACTCCAGGTCACTCACCACCTCACACCGATGCGTCCCAGCCGCCGCCATGCCCTACTCCTTCCAGCACAGGGGTCCTCACCCTGAGGGAGAGGCCCCGTCCCTGCCCCATGGAGCTGACCTTAAGGGTCCGTGGCACCCGATCCCACAATGTCTCACACGGCCAACAGGCCAGCCTGCTGTCCTGGAGGAAATGCAAGGCTCAGACACCAGCGAGCCAGGTGGTCAAAGGGGCTCCCGAGGTGGGCGTTGGGCCTGAGGCCAACAGCAGGAGGAGGGTTGGGGTGGAGGAATGGTGGTGACAGCCAAGACTGAAGGGGCTGAGACCCTCGGATGGGCAGGAGCAAAGCTGGGAGGGGCTCATGGAGAGGCCAGAGGAGGCCCCGGCTGGGCCCAGGGGCAGCAGGGACTGTGCACCTGGGAGCCGGCAGGGACTTGCCCGGGGCCTGGTGGGGCTGGAGAAGAGTGGGCGCGATTCCACCCCTTGAGTTCGGGAGGAAACTTCCCAGGGCTAGGCCTGAGGTGAGGGTCTGGGGCAGCCCCAAGACGGCCCCAGTCTCTGCCTGGCTCACTGGGGGTGCTGGGGCTGATCCCAAGATGGGACCTGGAAGGGTGGAGTGGATGGCTGGACCCGAGGGCTGGGAGTTGGGTCTGAGGGACCCAGGGCTGGGACCTCTGTGGCCCCCAGCCCTTCCGTGTTGCCTGGTGTCCGGGGCCCTGTGTACAGGTGGTATAGGATTGAGGTGGGGGTGCCAGCGAGGTGAGGGCTGCCCACAGGGTCCACAGGGCCCATAGGACATGAGCGAGGGCTCTGTCCAACCAGCTCAGCCTGGGTGTCCACCCCTTGCTCTGCAGGCCTCAGGAGCAAAGATGGAGGAGCAGAGGCTGCCAGAGGAGGAGTCCGGCTCCTCGGAGACAGAGAAGCAGAAGTCATGGCCACCAGAGAAAGAGGAGTGGAGGTTGCCAAAGAAGGGGGCCACCTCCTCAGAGACGGAGGATTGGAGGCTGTGGCCTCCAAAGAAGGAGGAGGGGAGGCCGTGGCTGCCAGAGAAGGAGGAGCGGAGGCCATGGCAGCCAGAGAAGGAGGAG